TATCCCTCCCAATACACTACTAACTCTGAAAAGTTTGCTAAAGAGTTGCTTATTCAGCTCATCAAGAATGCCTCACAAGTAGCATTCACAGCCTGATGAAAATAACTGTACTATTATATAGCAATAAAAAGTCAGGTAGATACCAGTGGCTTACACCTATAATCTTCACTACCCAGGAGGCTGAGATCTGAGGATCATGGTTACAGACTCAAACAGAAAAGTCCATGAGACACTTATCTCCAATTAAATACCACAAAATAGTTGGAAGTGGCCCTGTGATTCAACAGAGTGCTAGCTTTGAGCAAAACACTCTGGGACAGTCCCCAGGCCCTGAGTTCAAGCTCCAAGACCAGCAAAAAAAAGAAAAATAAATAAGAAGTTAAACCACTGAATCCTCTGCTGAATATACCATACTTTAGTTAATACGTGTGTATATGCATATGACTCTGAATATGTTCATATATAAAATTTAGATCTAACTTCCATATATGTCTGAGCCTGACTTACTTCATTTAACATGATTTTCCCAGGTCCATCCATTTCCCTCATTTTTCCTGATGGATGAGTAAAATTTTCTTGTGTGTGTGTGTGTGTGTGTGTGTAAATCTTCGTTCCACAGATGTTGAATATTCTGTTTACTATTCTTTCAATCAAAAGCTTAAATTCCCAGAAGCAGAAGAGGAGGCTGAGGGAAGGATAGGGAGCAGAAACAACTCTCCTCATAGAGGTCACTGAAGCAAGAGGCCACCTACGAGACCATGGAGAACTTGTTTTTTGCAGCTCCCGGCCTTCCTGTAACTGGCCATTCTCCATCTATGCTTTCACCTTCTGGCAACCACCTGCTAACTTCACCTTCTGGAAGCACAGGCACCCAGCCAGCCTGGAGAAATCTGCTCTCTGAACTGAACACAAATACCTCTTCTCTTCCAGTGTGAACACGGCGTTGAAAACCAGAACCCACTGCGGTTCTGTCATCTTCTGCTAGCAGGAAGGCTGCCTGTGTAAAGCCTGAACATTCCAAAGAGGTGTGTCCGAAACCAGGAAGACCTATGGGTTCCAGCCTGACTTCCTCAATATACATACCAGATAAACAGAAGCACCAGCCAGGGAAACTGGGCAAAGTAAGACCAATTTCATTTTCCTAGTGACATTTTGGAGATGACTTATGGGAAATTTCAGGATCTGAAAATACAAAAATGAATATGACACCTATTCTGCCCTTAAGGAGCTCAAGTCTGGAGTGGGAGACAATATTCTTCAAAAGGTAACGGTGGTATTAGGTGGTATGAACAAAAACAGGTCACAAGGCTATGAAAAAATGGAACTGGGGTGAGGGGACAGCTCAATGGTAGAATGCTTCCCTAGCAAGTTAACCCCCCAGTACTGCAAAGAGGAAAGGGGGAAAGGGAAAAAGAAGGGAAAGGGAGGTGGGAAGGGGAGGGGAGAGTAAGAAAGGGAAGGGTACAGTAGAGGTGAGGAGGGCTTCTCCATCAAAGATGGGGCCACATGAAGTGGATTTACAGGATGAGCAGAAATTTTCTAGGCAATCAAATGGTGGTGAAGTGACATTCTGGATAGAAGGGACAGCATTCTGAAAGACTCAAATATATGAAGCAATCGTGCAGTTCAAGGAATAAAGAGAAAGCAGGATGTATGGGGTGGTGGTGGAGATGGAGATGAGTAAAGAGGGGAGTTGCAGACTATTACAGAGGTCTCTAAACACCTAGGAGTCATGAGAGATTTAAAGCATGGCAGTAACATTTATTTAGGATGTATTTTAAGTAATTCTGGCAGACATGTAGAGCAGGAGTCTACATCAGTGCTATGCAAAGGAAATAAAATGTGAGCCATGGAGCCAAGCCACATATATAATTTTAAATTTTCTAGTAGCCACAGTTAAAGTAGGAAAAAAACAAATAAAATTAATTTAATAATACATCTTCAGCCCTTAAGTCCAAACAATTATCATTCAGTCTATATTGAATGTTTTTAAAATTATTATTTTTTTGAATGTTTTTAAAATTATGAATGAATCTACATTCTTTTCATGCCAAGTCTTCTAAATCAGGCATGCTTTCACATCTTCCTTTGGACTAGCCGCTTTTCAAGTTCTCCAAAGCCAAATGTGGCCAGCGGTTACTACTCTGAATAAAACAGCTCTGGTTAAACCAAATACACAATCCAGTTAGAACACTGTAGCCCATAGTTTAAGTAGACAATTATGCTCTGTGCGGGTCTTCCTGGCCACTGAACATATGTTAAACTACTAAAATGCAATTTTGAGAACATGCAACATTAGAAATTTGTTTTGAATAGATAATAATTTACATGGTATAAAAATAAAAATACAACACAGTATAATGGACAGTATAGCTTCCATCCTACTCTTGTTCACCTCTCCCTTGTCCATGCCAACCCCCACCCACCCACTAGAGGGACCACTTTACTGAGATCCCCCTGTTTGAATCTCAATTAAAGTGGCTACCTATACCAAGAATGCCTTTCAGAGTTTCTTCATGAATTTACAAGCAGATGTAAATACACTCAAAGAAAATATACTAGGCATCCTGTTTTATGCCTTGCTGTTTTCCTTTAGTAACATATCTTGGAATTCTCCATATCTTGTATAAACAGTTTCCATGTTTTCTTCAAAATGCTACAGTGTTCCATCATTACAAGAATGGATCCTAGTTTATTCAGCCAGTCTTCTTCTAATGGATATGGAAATTGTTTCCTATCTTTTCTATTATAAACAATGGTCTAATGGAAAAGCTCCTATGTGCATAGTTTTCTATGTTTTCAGATATATCTGCAGGAAAACATGCCAGTGTCAAATTGCTAAGTCAAACAGTAATTATATTTTAATCTTGACAGCTAGTGACAGTCAACCTGGCCTTCACAAGGCCTCTCCTTTGTTCTCTCATAAGCAGGATAGTACCAATTTTCCTACTCTTGGTTAACAAAGTATAATTGTCACACTTTAGCATTATTTTTACTAATCTGATCAGATGAAAATTACTACTTCGGCATCATTTCAATTTTCATTTCTTGTATTCTGTGTGAAATCAAGTGTGTGTGTGTGTGTGTGTGTGTGTGTTGGTCCTGGGGCTTTAACTCAGGGCCTGAGCACTGTCCTTGAGATTTTTTGTACAAGACTAGTGCTCTACCATTTGAGCCACAGCTCCACTTCTGGCCTTTTGTTGGTTTAATGGAACATAAAAATCTCATTGACTTTCCTGTCCAGTCTGGCTTTGAATTACTATCCTGAGATCTCAGCCTCCTGAGTAGCTAGGATTATAAGTGTGAGCCACTGGTGTCTTTTTTGGGCTTAAAGACAAAGCTTTATTTTTTTTCCTGTGAATACACTTTTCCTGTCCTTGACTATTTCTCTACTGGTTGACATAGAAAAACAGCATGTTTTGTATTCAAGATAGATCATTTGTGTGTTTATCTCTTTACTGTATTTTTACCAAATAAAATGTTACATTGGAATTCATTCAATTTTTTTCTCCTTTTATGGCTTTTAGATTCTGAGTCATAGTTTAAAAGCTCTTCCTACTTCAAGGTTATGAAAATTGTATGTATGTTTTCTCATAGCCCCTTTGTGAGTTTAAGTAGATGCAAATACAGTACCATTTTTAAATTCTTGTTCAGATGATCAGTTTTCTGGGCAAGAAGTGTAGGTCAGTGGTACAGTGCATGCCTAGCATGTGTAGGGCTCTAGTTTGATCCTAAGTAACATATAAACAAACACATAATCCATTTTTACTTAAAAAATAAGTACACTATGCATTATGTAAATTTCCTAATTCCTTCTTCTTTTTAACTTTGCCACAACTCTTTTGACTACCACTGTAATATTCACATAAAGTTAATTGATCAAGTTGGAGTTATATAAGTGTCATGAGAAATGGAACCCTCCTTTCTTCAAATAGGTTCTTCCTTAACCCAAAATATCCATCATTATCCCACTTCAAAAATAGAAATGCAACTTCTCAAATACTATTTTAGCTAGGTACTGGTCGCTCAGATCTATAATCTAGCAACTTAGGACACTGAGATCTGAGAATCTCAGTTCAAAGCCAGCCCATTCAGAAAAGACATGAGACTCTATCTCCAATTAACCACCAAATAGCCAGCAGTGGAACTGTGACTCCAGCGTTAGAGCATTAAACCTGAGAGAAAATGTGACGGGGCAGTGCCCAGGCTCTGAGCTGAATACCAGTATTGGCAGAAATGAAAATTTTTAAAGTCACTACCTATTTGTATAAATAGCAACCTGAATTTCTGTAAATTGGTTCTAATGTTCTAGTCCAGACATTGCAGAGATAAGGACAATTTCAGTCTGACAAAAACTTTCATTGATGACAGAATTCTGGTTTATTCAAGTTCATTTCATATGATCATCAGTCTGATTATTAAAAAGAACTATGTCAAAGAAAGAAAGGAGAGAAAAAACAGCAATTTGAATCTGAAAATGGTCCATCTCCAATGTCAAAGTAAAAAATGATTTTCTTTTGAGTTTTTTTTGTTTGTTTTTTGTTGTTTTTGTTGATCGTGGAGCTTGAACTCTGGGGTTGGGCCCTGTTCCTGCGTTTTCAGCTCAAGGCCAGCGCTCTACCACTTGAGCCACAGCACCACTTCCGGTTTGCTAGTGGTTTATTGGAGATAAGAGTCTCATGGACTTTCATGCTCCAGCTGGCTTTGAACTGTGATCCTCAGATCTGAGTAGATAGGATTACAGGCGTGAGCTACAGACGCCTAGCCCTTTTGAGAACATGAATCTGGGCATCAGTAGCTTATACCTATAAACCTAGCTATACTCAGGAAACAGAGACCTGTAGGATTTATTTCAAAGCCAGCCCAAGAAGGGAAGTCTGCAATATTCCATCTCCAATTAACCAGCAAAAAACTGTGCTGAAGGTGTGGCCTGAGTAACAGAACACCAGGAGTGAGCAAGCAAACTGAGCAAGCCTGGAGCTTTGGAGTTAAGCAAGAAAAAAAAGATGGAATATTTCATGAATTCACAAGTTATTCTTGCACAAGTGTCATGTTAATCTTTTTTGTCTTGGCTAATTATAGTATATATACTGCATACCAAGTACTTATTATGGTATTTCTTAAACAGAGATTTGGTATTATTAATTATACTATTCCAAAGTTTCTCAGAAGCTGGAAATTTTCAATTAAAAAGGTAAGTATGTATTGTTTTGTGGTAAGTGCTTTTGCATTTCAATACTAATTCTTATCTTCTATCTTATCTTTCTTCATTTTATTCAATCCATATTCTACATGTTACCCTGTCATTTAAGGTTATAAAATGAGTTATAATAGATCAGTTTCTAAGAGGGATTTACATACATACATACACACACACACACACACAAAGTCAAGAGCAGTATAACCTCCAGGATCAGTTCCTACAGTAGTCATACATGAAGGATACACAGTAGGGTATACTACTATCAGCTAAGTAACAGTAACAACACAGTGACCCCAGATAGGAAATAATGGAAATGTGGGAGAAGACCAGGAGAATTCCAGGTAGATGCTCCCGAAACAAATAAAGAATAGCTTCCAAGACATCTGTGAGGTTTCTCAAAGAAACAGAAATGGAGCAGAAGGCCAAAGGCCCTGTGAACTAAGAGACCGTAGCCATGCTACATATACTGCGGCCACTGTTCCTGGCCTACTCCCACCCCCTAGGAAGCTGCTTCTAAAGACCACCTGCAGGAAATTGTTCAGAAAACTGCTCTCCGGCCCAACTATGACTTCAACAAGCTAGTGCTTAGTGGGGGTAGTTCACTCAAGTATCACAGTTAAGTATCTACAACTAACTACTAGTGCACAATACTCCTCCCTCCCAACAGAGCCTTAGCTTGCTGTCCCTATCCAGGACAATAATATGGTAATTTTCCAACTTGCCTGGATTCCTTAACATCTTAGATTTGGGAATTTCTCACTTAATCCTTCTTTTGACATCCTATTATAACCGATGACCTCTTACTTAGTTCTCTGATGTAATACTCCTATCTAGTCCTCCCACTTTTGTTCCCAGTACCACTCATCTATTTCGGGCCCTCCTCATGCTCCTGGGCCTAACTCATCATCTCTTACCTATTTTCCTGTTTCTTCATTCCTCCTTTTACAATCCATTCTACATGTCCTTTTCCTAAATGGTACTCCCTCAAAAATCTTCAATGGTTACCCATTGCTTATGTAATAGACTAAAATTAGATCACTAATAATTTCATTTGTTCAAAATATATCTCCTAAATTCCTACTATGGGCTAGATACTTTTCCAGGTCTTTGGGAGATAAATCCATGGAATAGACAAAACCTGTTAAATTTTGTTTTAAACTGTATTTTCTTTTCTCGTCCCATACTCTAGTAATCCCTGATACAATTTTGAGCATTATCTTTACACACTTTACATCAGCAGCTTTATTCTGGTATATTTACATATTCAATGATGCCTAACAAGCCCTTATGATATTTTGGATCCAGTAATGAGCAAGACAGATGTAGCCTTTTTGTTGTCTACCCTATCCCTGACCTTCCCTCACTTTCCCACTCATAACTTCTCCTTTCCTGTCCCCTCTAAACTCAGTCATGGTGAAGATGGTGTCCAAACCCTCCAGCTTCTGCAAAGATTCTCCCAGTACCAAGCCCAGGGTAGGTACTGTCAATCCCTTGTCTTACAGCATTTATCTAAGCACCTATGGATTCTCTTTGATTTTTATGCTTTTGGGTTTAATGAAACGCTGCAATTAGAGAGTTCTTGTTCTCTCCTTTGCATTCCCTAGAATTCTATAACTACAGAACCAACGGAAACCTCTGACCATCAATATATCAAACCTACATATCAATATATGTATCAATACATATCAATATATTTCATCTACATTCCTACCTGAGGAATTTGAGTTGTGGGAGCGTAAGAATAGCTGGTGCTAAAAAGAAAATAAGACTATGAACGGCAGACTAGCAAACATTCTTCCCTTTGTCCCTTGAAGCAAAGGTGTCTGAGTCAACAGTTATATGCAGTTCTTTCCTCTGGAATTCATGTTTGTGATCACAAGCTGTTCCATGAATTCCTCATAGATCCTGCCTAGATGAGGCTTAAGCCTGGAAAGTCAAACCAAGTGGTGGATTTGTCTGGCTGTACCTGCTGCCCTCTCTCCAACCCCCACTTCATGCAGTTGTCTGAGAACTCAGTGGTGCCAGCAAGCTAGATGCTAAGCCCATACACTGTCCAGATGCCAGACTGCCCTACTCATGTTACTCCCCACATCATAGAATTCAGGGCATCCCTCACCCCTGCTCTGGCTGGTAAGCTGCCCCTGGAAGAAGGTACACAACTCCCTGAAAGAAGTAGTGAGTGTACCCAGGAACAGATAAAATGGAAATGCAATTTTTAAAAATCTACAAGAACAAAGAAAGAAAAAAAAACTTAATGAGAGTATAATTCGAACAGGGTGGTAGATAGACTCCAGATGACATCGACAGAGCTATGAGCTGTATCATGATGGATCAATGTTAAATTTTTAGCAGGAACTACATTTCTGTATTCACTTCCTCCTTGCCATTCACCTGAAGCTCAAAGGGGGAAATAGGTGACCACATCTTCATTCCTCCACCCTCTTATGCTCACTGAAATGGTAACTGGTATTCTTTCCCTTTTTTTCAGGCAGTGTCTCCCTGTGTTGCCTGGACTGGCATCAAACTCATGATCTTCCTGCCAAGGCCTCCCAAAAACCTTGGGCAATCAATATTGCTTCCTGAATCTCCTAGAAGTGATAGGGTGGTTTATCCTTTGCTTGAGGTGACAAAAGTACAAATTAACAGATAGATAGCTGTACACATGTGGCCAATATAGATAAGGATATCTCGCATCAGTCCATTTTCTGTGGAGTCCAATGAACTGCTAACACTAGTAGGAAAAGATTATGAGGCTCAAATTTATCACGTTAGAGACTCTTCAGGTATACCCTAGAGACCATTTAGGAAGCTGTTCTTCACAATAAATTTGTTTTCTCCACAACCCTTCTATGTTGTAGTCTTTTGGCATAGTGAAGTCCCCTCCATTTGGAAGGTGTCTAACCTTCTCTCCCAAGGTAGCTTAAGATTTATAGGATAGGTTGGTGTTAATATTCATATGGAAAGAAAACTCATCAGTATAAAGAAAAATTTTGTGTTTGTGAAAATCTTTGAAATATAGAGACTCCTTATCTATCAGCAGCCTTCAGCAAGTGGCATGATTTCTGTTTAATTAAATAAACTGTTAGAAGCGAGGGGCAGCAGAAACACTCCAAGCTCTGATTTTAAAACTTTTTCTGACTTTAGCTTTGCTAAGAAAGAAATAAAGAATGCCTGAGCCCAGACTAAATTGTAGGTGAGGTCTTCATGGTGTGCACAGCTTCCAGAGTGTTCCAGAATGTGCTCGCAACACCCAGGTCCAGATTCTCTTCCCCTGTGGATGGGACAACTTCCATTCATTCAAGCAGCCCCACTATGTAGGAACTTGCTCCACAATGCAACTTATGCAAATATATGAACCCTGCTTACCAGACCTTGGCTACTGTGATCCAAGGGCTAGAGTCCTTAGGAACACTCCTGCTGCAATCTGGTGTTGGTTCAAACAACTAGTATGAGACTGGGTCAGGGAGCAGGATTTAGAGATTCCTTCTCAGATACACAAAGGAGGTGGAGGAAACAGCTGGGGGAACGGTGAGGCTGGAGATAAAACCCTAACACACCACTGCAGCTCAGGATAGGTCATCTTTAAGCAACACTTATGAAGTAACAACATTCATTTGTTTATCACTCATGCTTTATGTCATGAACCCTTGTGTAGATGTAAGCATCTGTATCTCTACATGGCAAACCTTAGGAAACAAGTAGGCTAGAATTCCTCCTGGAACTATGAGTTCTTTCATCAGTGATATTTCAGCCACAATGAACTTCTCATTATTTCTTCATTATTTCCTAAGCATACCTAGTTACTAGTATTCTCTCTGCCAAAAAATGTCCTTCTCCATCCTCTACCAGAAGAAAACAAAAACGAAACAAAACAAAGATGTCACTCACTGGGAAGCCTTTCCAACTGCTCGAGTCTTCCCAGAAGACCTTCCAGCTGTAGCTCCCTCCAGACCTGCCCTCATTCTCTCCTCACCAGACTGTTCTTTTCTCAGCTCCTTTCATATTAAGTTCTTTAGCATGTCAAGATTTTGGCACATGCACTCAACTCTTGTGAAATCCCCCTGCCCATATTCCAACTCATGAGCACCCCTAGCACCACCACCTTAGTGGCTCACCTTTTCTTGGAGGTCTTAATGTGCTGCCCCACTCCTATCTTACTACAACCTCTTCTGGTCTCCACTATTATTCTTCCTTAGCACTAAAAAGTTTTTCTACATGCCACACAATAGAACATATTGTTTGATAGGGTTTATTTTTCTCTTGGATGGTAAGGCCATAAAGTGATTAGACCAATAGCACAGAGTAGACACTCCGGAAGTTATTCAAGGAACAAATGATGGACTTTTTCTATAGTGTTTTATGTAACTATTCATGTTGTCCATTTGGAGACTGGCTCCAAAGCCTGACTTCTGAAGGTATATCAGAGCAAACACATTTTGAAAGTTCATCTCAAAAGAGAAATTTGACAGTTATCCTTATCCTTACCAACTGTATCTTATATATCCACATCTAGAAATGATTGATTCTAAAAATAAATATCTAAAATAAAGATCTTAAAAAAATAAAGATCCTAAGTTTGATGGCCTTCATGCATCACTAAGGTCAGGAAAGGATGACCTTAGCATGTCTAGAAAGATCGAAATAATAACCAAAAATTGGGGAACATAATATCAAGTGCTTATGATCAACTCTGACCCAACTAGAAAAGTCATAACTGAATAACCACATTTATCTCTCTCCCAGGTGATGTTTCAGTTGTTTTGCCAACTGAGTAAAAACCAAACAGAGTGAACTGGACTCAACAATGTGTGATATGCCTGTTATGGTCTGATTGTGCTCTCCAAGAATTCAATTTGTTTCGGTCCTGTATAGTACCTCCAAATAATATAAATCTATTTAGAG